GGGCCGATCATTTGTGGTAGATGTGCCAACAGCTTGTTTACAAACACAGTCTTACCACTGCCCGTTGGACCGGCGATAAGAGCCGTAAAGGGATGTTTCCACATAGGATCCATCCTTAGTAATGTTAAAATTGTTCAATTATGACTCTATCTTATAATGGTTATATTTTCTCTTTCAGAAAAAATGGTGTCCATCTCAGCCATCGTGGTAAGCCGCCTGGAGGCGGACCCCTTCCAGTTTTGTACTGGTTGCCTTGAGGAGCAAGGCAACCAGCTGGGCCATTCATGTGTAATGGCCCGGAATTTCAACGAATTGGTTTCCGACCAGGGGGAGGCAGCGATGGGGGCACTGGTAACAAAGGAGGAGTGGCAGGCAATGTTCGGTCACATATTACGCCGACGGATGGAAAGGACCGAACGTCGCCGAGCCCATGGGCGCCGGACTTCGACGTCCTCGTCCGGCGACGAGGTGGGGGTGGAGGCCACCGCACCTCCCAGTCCGACGAGGCCCACTCCTCCTCCCACCAAATACGCTACAGTAAATTAAAACTACATTAAAACATTACTAAAAAATGTTTGCCCCCCCCCTGGAAAGTTAATCGATTTTTTTTGCCCCCCCCCCTAGAAAGTTTTCTGCGGGCGCTCATGATGCCGGGGGCCCCATTTCATTTTTTCTTATTTAAATATTGTAACACATCTACTCTGACATGGCGTGGGATCTTATTTCTTATGCTGTGGGTTATGTCAGTAGTATGGTTACTTATGTTCAGGATGCGACTAAGACTTATTCATTCTTCCACTTGTTATCCAGGCACGCAAAGAAGAATGCTCAATTCTGGTTAAACCTTACAGTACTTTATTGAACACACTTGACACTGATAATAATAGTAATCCTTGCATGAATGTAAATAATTTCACATATATATATATAGTATTCCACCATTCAGAAAGACACGTCCTCACGCTACTATAACTCAGCTCAACTGTCTAATCACACAGCTCTCCTAGCTCTACTGTTCTCTACTGCTCTGCGCTCAGCTCTCTCTATCTCAGTCAACTCATACTTTAATACCAGCAAAGCGTGGAAAACAACCGCTCTGACAAAAACATAATTTTACTCTCCAAAAACGTGGAGCTCACATTGTCCTCTCAAAATACAATTCATTGTCCTCGTGGACAAAACATGGTCAACACCATTCACTGTTCACTCATGCTACCGCTCTGTTTTCATGTGAAAACATTGTCCGTTACAAATATCAATAGGCTAAATACTCCTACATGAATAGATGGATCTTGACCAAACTTATTACACATACACATGATCATCCATATTCAAATACCGAAGGGTACTGAACTCATAATATCTATTTCTCTGGGGGGCCCCAGTTTATTTTTCTTTCTATAAGTCGCTGAAAACATCACAAGTCTATAGCGAAACAGTCATCGCTTGCTTACATTTCGAGGGTTTATTTTTATTTATTTACTAGCCAATATATCCGGCTTTTCACGGGATTGCATTAGGACCCCGATCCTGGTGGGACCCTGATCCCGTAGGACCCCAATCGTATTCTGACCCCAATTCCGGCGCATCGCGTTTTCCGATGGGATCATGCTCAGTGCGATTTTGTTCGAATAAGCTTTAAATCACATTATATATCCCCTTAGAACAATAAAAAAACTTCTGGAAGATTCTAGATTTAATTTAATATGATCCATGAAACCTGTAAAAAAAATACTTTTCTAAATAATTATTTTTCAAATACGAAATATTATACAACTAATTTTCACTACTATAACTATAGTACATTTAAATTGGGGGCCCATTTAATAAAGTACCCTTTTTAGTTATGTCTGAGATGGGGTTTTGGATTGGGGGGGGGGTCTATAAAAATCATTCAGATAAATTATAGAGTTAAAATTTGTCCCATTAAAATTTATATAATAATAATAATAATAAAGCGTCTTATATAGTGCGGTAACCCAGCCTAGGGCTAGGGGGGGGGGGGGGTCTATAAAAATCATTCAGATAAATTATAGAGTTAAAATTTGTCCCATTAAAATTTATATAATAATAATAATAATAAGGCGTCTTATATAGCGCGGTACCCCAGCCTAGGGCTGGGCTCACCGCACTGTACATAAAAATTGTATCAAAAGAGACATAATCATGACATTAAAATAAAAATAAAGTCATTTATGAAATAAAGAGCCGCAATGTATATTCACCCACCCCACCACATAACTTTTACAAGGCAAACCATGGACGGCAGCCAGCGAGATCGTTTATCGGTCAGAGGAGGGGAATCACTCAGGGTAGTATATTTTAAAAAGATATGTTTTGAGTGCAGTTTTGAAGGCATGTGTGGTTGGTATATTGCGTATGTGTAGTGGCAAAGAATTCCATTGTTTGGGGGCGCAGAAAGAGAAAGATCGTTCACCATATGTTTTAGTGTGTGTCTTGGGAACGGACAGAAAACGCGCGTCTGCAGAGGAGCGAAGCTGTCGAAGGGGGTGACCATAGACAATTTGAACTTACTGGAAATTATTAGCTTTGAATCCACCGATTTTTCAATACGGACTAAGAAGCGTAAGGAACAAAGTTAGGCTTAGGTCCATTAATTCACATAGAACATATACCGTTGTCTAGCCCTATTGATATGTATGTACGGTACGGTAGCTTATAGATTCAGCATTTGAGCATTCAGCAATTTCAACTATGGTATCTTCAATTCATTTTGACAGTTAGCAAGGTTAAAGAACTGTTACATTAGTACAGCACGGTGATCACCCTTGATGTCCTGTCTCTGGGGGTGTTAAGATGGTGGAGAAATTACATCGGCCCCAATGGCAAGCTTTCTCTGTGATTTTATAAAAACATGGAGATTGGGGGGGGGGCACAATCGTTGTGTGTAAGCCCATGGAAGTATTTACGTTTCAAAGGGGGGCAGACTTTGACATGTCACCTTTTAAAACTAACTACACGCATATTCCGGCATCGCTAGATGGTTGTCTTTCTTACGTATCACTATCGCCTATCTCAAGCTAAATTTATTTATTTTTTGGGCCATAAATATTTGGATACCCGGTACCGAAAAAAAATGAGCAGACTCTATTCTTTTTTTTTTCTTTAGATTGAAATGAATAAAACATTTTTCTTTCTTTTTTTTTTTTTTTTTTTAATTTTTTTCTTTTTGGGGGACATTAAACTTTTTTGGTGGGGGGCCGGAAAAAAATGTCGGAAAGTGTT